GAACCCCCCACCCCCCCCCCGTGTACACTATATGACATCCAGTAGATTTCTAGCGGGGACCAATCATAGGGCTGCTGACGCGTCACCGACTAGCGGCTATTAGCACCTTGTTTCATGTAAATGCCATGAACTCAACCAGAGCGCGTATATTGTTTCTTGTTTACTTCAGTAGTACTAAGTACTAGTACTTCCACAATCAGTTAGTAAAGTCATACCTTAGTAAAATCTACTTTGATGAACGAATCAAAACGGGACTGTAGACATTAAGTTTTACACATTCAAATGTGGCTGCACTAGCGCTAATGGAGCGACCACTACGTACGGGAAGGAACGGATCTTAGCCAAGCCGAGATTTGTGAACCAAACCCAACCCATCGAAGACGGGCCGCCAAACATAAAAATGGAGGGAAATGACAGACAACAAGCCAACAAAGACAACATCACCAGACTAACAAACTTGGAAAACACCACTTCAAGCGCTAACGTTGTAAGAACTGTGGAACCTCAAACTAGTATGTTTGCGTCAGCGGAAAGGCTGCCGAAGTAACCACTACATGAAAAACTGCGGCGAAAAAGTAACATGGGTTCGTCCCAAATCTAGACGCAAGTGAGCTACAAAAGTAATAGAACCTATGCATCTTGCTTGTTGCTGTCAACTTACCCGTTAAAGATTTAACCGATACATGTACGTACTATAACTTGCCATACCCGGGCAAAGACGACTACATTACTGTTACTCTTTATTTTGTGCTGTATAATGTATATGCGTTACATTATCTATCATTGTCATTTCTGTGAGATCCTTAAAACATCTACTGTTAGTTTGTGTAACATTACGTAGTGCTACAATCTGCGTAAAAAGTGGGCTTCATTACGTGTTATCTGCTAAGTCGTGTTGGTATTGAAAACTGTTTTATTTTGCCGTTCTTCTACAAACTACCAGCAGAATTATGAAGATACTCGTTCTCAATACACATGCTGCAAACTAAAGTAATGGCAGTCCTACGAAAATTCTGTTTGTAATGTATAAGCGCTTTATGTCGACGAACAATGGGTGTGAAATACATGTTTTCGCCCATCGTGTGCCACCGGCTGTGAATTGGCTACTTTACAAGTGAAAGAACCGCGTCCGTGGGCCTTGCTAAATTATTCAAATTATTCAGCAGCCCTCTGATTGGTCCCCGCTAGAAATTTACTGGATGTCATTCAGTGACGAGCACCCCCCCCCCATGAAAATCCTGGCTACACATCTGTGCATTGCAGATAGTGCACTCTGTGTAAACTGTTTCAAGTTGTGTAAATGTGTACCGCTGTAAAATGTCTGAGGAGTTGAAAACACTTAACTAGACTCCAACTGTGGCCTGTGGTCCAGCGGCTATAGAAACAGAGCTTGGCACTGTACTTATACACGAAATGTCACATGTCACGTTATGTATCCATGCAGCTCAGAGATGGGAAGACACGGGAGCGTACTGGCGCTCCTGGTACGAGACAGCTGACTTCCAGGAACAACTGGAGAACCTGTACAACCAGCTCACGCCTCTGTACAACAACCTGCACGCTTACGTCAGGAAGAAGCTCAGGGCTACATACGGACAAGACAAGATCAGTGCCACTGGGCCCATCCCTGCTCATCTGCTAGGTTTGTATGATATCAGAAATATTTAATGGCTAACAGGCAATAGTCAATGGCAGGTGCTATATGTAATTTTATCTATTTCCAAAGCTGACGAACAGTTCATGCGCAATGTTGGTGATATATATGAATATAAATGATGGTGGTTCAATTCACTGGGCCCACATCTAGATATCTGCTGGGTAAATACAATACAAGTACACATTAATTCAGTCTTTCGTGCATTACATGTTGATTATGGGCATCTATAAATCTATGATCTAAAATCCATTACCTAATTTATCTGTATAAAAGGTCTTGCTTCAAGTTCCCGTGAGTGCTTTTCTTTTTATTATTTGATTTCCTTAATTTCAGTCAGTGCAAGAGTACAAACACGTGATAAAAGAAGCCTGGAAGACATTGAGCTGAATATTCCATTGTTTCTTTCTGTCCTCCGTAACACATTGACTGAGTTGATCGATGTACATGTAGGTAACATGTGGTCTCAATCCTGGATCAACATCTACGACCTAGTGGAGCCGTACCCTGGCAAGACGAGCCTGGATGTGACACCGAAGATGCAGGCAGATGTGAGCAGATCCCTTTCATTTATATCCTACCGTTTTAAGCAACTATTCTTTGACAAGAACGTCTCTGCTATGCTAGATATAGGCTTGCATGGCTTGCGTTTGATACCTATGTGGGCAGGTCTTGATGAGACTCGAAATTAGATTTTGATCCACCTAGCGACTTGCCATTATACTGCAGCTTAACTTACGGTTTTAATATCTGTACATGCTAAGAATTGTGGACCGTGGGCGGTTCTTGTGGCCGAAAAAAGGGTCATGAATTTGGAACCCCTAGCAAGCACGGACAAGTAGCTATGTCAGTTCTCAACTCAGGTTAGAATCACACAGTCTACACAGTCAGTCTACCAGAACTAGGACGAACATAACTCACGTTGAACTGGGAATGGTAAAACTCAGTTTAGAATATCACATAATCGATCAGAACTTAAATAAAGATGACATGTGTCCAACTAGAAGTGGTGAAACTCAGGTCAGAATCACTCAGTCTGTCAGATGTCGGGGAAACCTAACTCACGTCCAACTAGGAGTGGTGAAACTCAGGTCAGAATCACACAGTCTATCAGAACTAGGACAAACCTAACTCACGTCCAACTAGGAGTGGTGAACCTCAGGTCAGAATCATACAGTCTATCAGAACTAGGACAAACCTAACTCACGTCCAACTAGGAGTGGTGAAACTCAGGTCAGAATCACACAGTCTATCAGAACTAGGACAAACCTAACTCACGTCCAACTAGGAGTGGTGAAACTCAGGTCAGAATCACACAGCCAATCAGAACTAGGACAAACCTAACCCACGTCCAACTAGAAGTGGTAAAACTCAGGTCAGAATCACACAGTCTATCAGAACTAGGACAAACCTAACTCACGTTCAACTAGGATATGAGTGGTGAAACTCAGGTCAAAATCACACAGTCTATCAGAACTAGGACAAAACTAACTCACGCCCAACTAGGAGTGGTGAAACTCAGGTAAGAAAACTCAGTCTATCAAAACTAGGACAAACCTAACTCACGTCCATCTAGGAGTGGTGGAAACTCAGGTCAGAATCACACAGTCTATCAGAACTAGGCCAAACCTAACTCACGTCTAACTAGGAGTGGGAAACTCAGGTCAGAATCACACAGTCTATCAGAACTAGGACAAACTTAGCTCACGTCTAACTAGGAGTGGTGAAACTCAGGTCAGAATCACACAGCCTATCAGAACTAGGACAAACCTAACTCACGTCCAGCTAGGAGTGGTGAAATTTGGACCCCCTAGCAAACACGGACACCCAGCTATGTCAGTTCTAACAGTGATTAATGCTCATCAGGGATGGACAGTCGATCGGATGTTCCGTACGTCAGACGAC